CAAACCCTCTATCCCCCTCCTGAACTCAACCCCCATCCGAGACCCTTCATTCCAATCCCCTGCCCAAGGCCACAAACCAAACGCTTGTGCCCCCTCCTCCACACTAGTCTCTTGTCCCAGGTCACAACACTCGCCTGCCCTAGGTCACAACCCAAATGCCTGCATCACAGTCCAATGCCACAAGTCACAACTGCCTCCTTCACCCAAACTCCCTCCCAGACCTCTCACCCCTCCTGCACCCTAATCTCTTACCCCAAGATCCTTTCTGGACAATAATTTTGGAAGGGGGGCCACTTCACAAATTTTGGAAGTGGACGTGGGCTGACCTGAAAGGGGCGGGGCCTCAGACAGAAGGGGCAGGGCCTCGGGAGGAAGGGGCGGGGTTGAGAACTACCCTGCTGGGTACGGTGACATTTTCTGAACCAGCTGCAGCTAGTAAGAACAGTTTAATTTAAATTATGAAACAGATTAAGCATTTTAACATTCTCATGTTAGTTTATCAAACTTAATTTTAAATAAAGTAAAATATTGTGTCCAACACAAAAGGTTTCAATGTATGCTTTATTTATGGGAGGGGTGTGGAACCCTTTTTGGGTCAGGGATCACTGACTCACAAAAAAATCGGTTGGGGACCACACAAGTGAGAAGCAAAAGAACCTCCTCCAAAACTCCCCAACATTCATTGATATAGCCCCAGCTGAGATATCTCACTCCTCTAGTGCCACAACCTCACGGGGTGAGGGGAAGGGAAGGGGGAAACTGAGGTTCAGGGCTTCCCATAGACCAGATTTACTTTTCTGGGGTTCTGGAGCTAGTGGATTTTATGGACACCCTTAGGCTCTGAGGTAGGGACAAAAATGAGGAGTACAGTGTGTGAGACAGGGCTCCCTGCAAGTAGGATAGGGATGGGGTGCAGGATTTGGGAGGTAGCTGGGGTGCAAAAGCTGGGAGTAGGATTTCTGGCCAGGTGGAGGGAGCAGGAACAAGGGAGGATGCAGTGCGTGGCCAGGAGAGAGGGTACAAGAACAAGGGAGGGTGTCGGAGCAAGTTGGGGGTGCTGGGTCTTGCAGAGGAAGGGAAGTGATGGGATTGGGGTATGGGTGGGGGGTCTGGGCATTAGGGGGAACCTTACCTGGCTTTGTGCTCCCTTGCAGCAATGGGACTGCACAAGGGCCATGGCACCATCTGTGGCCTACCTTAGAAGCATTCATTTGATGGACATTTACAGAGCCACAACATGGTCTTCTGCACACACATTCGCCAGACGTTACGCCCTGGACACTTACCTGAAATGGGGCACAGAATTTGGATTCTCAGTCCTCACCAAAGCCCAACACGATCATTAACTGAAGCACCCACCTCCTAACATGGGTACTGCTATATAGTCACCTAAGGTGGAGCACCTACAGAGACACTCCTCAAAGAAGAAGAGAAGGTTACTCACTTTGTGCAGTAACAGAGGTTCTTTGAGATGGTTGTCCCGGTGGGACAACCTCCATTACTGCACGAAATGAGTAACCTTCTCTTCTTCCTTGCGGAAAAGTGTCCATGCCAATTAGATGTGCTTTTCCACAAAAAAGCCCCGATCGCTATTTTCGCGATCAGGGCTTTTTTGCGGAAAACAAATCCGGGCTGTCTACACTGGCCCTTTTGCACAAAAGGACTTTTGCCCGAACGGGAGCAGCCTAGTATTTCCGCAAGAACACTGCCAATCTTACATGAGATCATCAGTGCTTTTTCGAAAAACTGGCCAGTCTAGACACAGCCTCAAGGTACACCATGTGGACTTTTTTAGGATTTTCACTACTTCCACCTCTTCTGGCAGTTGGCAGAAGCATCTGTTTTCCCTTAATTTAATTTTGGTATTCAAACAAGTGAATGATTCAATATATAAAGCAAGTTTTATGTGCAGTGTTAAGCTGATGATGCATTAATACCCATGATTCCTTGGTACCTAAACTCTAGAGTGCAATAATTTTAAAAAGTAATTATGTAACAAGTGACACTGCAGAGCTTTAGTTTATTAAATGATTTTCAGATCCATTTACAAGTTTAAAAGTTATGTTACCACCTTTTTCAGTACTAGCTCTGCAAATTCAGCCTATGATCTGAACAACAAAATATGATTTTACTAACATAATTGCGACTAAGTATTTTGCATTTGGAGTCTTTAGCTAATAATACCTCTGATGATGCAGGAGCTACAGTACAATTTAGATCTCTTCATAGCACCATAGAACCAAAATAGCTAATGGTATATATAGTAATTTATTTTATTCACAACAGTAAGAAATTGTAGCTCTAAATGCCCACAGGAAATAAATCTCAAGCAGAGAGGGCTATTTATAGGTAGTCAGGAAAATAACTGTCAGCACATTTCAGTGTAAAGAAAATTCTGAATAATCAATCTGCTGATCTACTTTAAAAGCATTAATGTAAGCAGCAAATACACGTGGATGCACCAAGAGTTCATGTAGAAGCCTGAGTTTAATATTAGGGCTGGAAAGAATCACATTATGCAGTTCATTCCACTGAATCAATGTACAACAGTAGTTAACTTTCCCTCTTTAACTTTACCTCAAGTAGTACCAATGATGATAATTCAGCAACTTCCCTAGCAAATCATCCTATCATCTGAGCTCACTGTTAAAAGACTGTCTGTGATTGTGTTCATGTTTTATTTCTCTTTTAGGACATCCTTTGCAGCAGTGTTTACCAAAGAAAATATTTTGAGGAGGATGTACAAATGAGAGGGTTACTCGTCTTGGGCAGTGGCTGAGGTTCTTTGAGATAGTTGTCCATGTGGGTGCTCCACCTTAGGTATCTGGGGCACCGCTGCACCTCTAGTAGAAGAATTAAGACAACAGTGCCCTCAGTAGGCTGCACACGCGGACAACCGGCCCATGCCATTTGGAACAGCTACTGGGTGTATGCGGCCAACTGTCCCCTCAATTCCTTCTCTGCCCAGAACAAGTATTTCCAACGTAGAGGGGAGAAACGGGGGTGGTGGAACACCCATAGGGACAATTATCTTGAAGACCTTCAAGTTATTGCACAAGGTGAGTAACCCTCTCTTCTTCTGTGAGGAACGTCCCCATGGGTGCTCTCCCTTATGTGCATGAGCCCTGTTGCACCTCTAATTGGAGACGTCAGGGAGCAGTGCCCACGGTCGGCTGTGCAGACAGGCCCCTGAATAGACAACAGCTCCACAAATACCAACGTTCCAACAGGTGTTTTGAAGTCCTGGTCGAGGGTCTGACAGCCCCAGTTTTTCTACAGCAGCAATCCAAATCCTCCACAACTTTTGGCAGCAGACTGGCTACACTCTATCCAGCGTGGTGTATTATCACCACTAACAGGTGGGTGCTGGAAATCATCAAAACTGGGTACTGCATACTATTTTTAGCCACCCCCCCACCATCTTTCCCCATCCCTCTTCGGGGACCCCACTCACAAGCATGTGCTTGTACAAGAGGCACAACATCTCCTACAGCTAGGAGCCATAGAAAACATACTACCAGAGCACAGAGGCAAGGGATTCTATTACCACTACTTCTTCACCACCAGGAGGATGAAAACCAATCTTAGATCTCCGCAAACTCAACCGCTTCGTGCAATCCCAGTGATTCAATATGGTAAC